CACATGCATGAGAGGGTCCTCCCTACATTACTGCAAAGATCCCATATGCAACTGGTCCAGAAAGAACTTGAGTGTTAAAATCTTTTCTCTGCCTTTCCAGTGGGAGAGTCCATAATCCCTGATGTTTCACTCCTCCAGTCACTCTTCCATCGATGTTAAAATCTCTGGGGCTCACTCCCTTTCAACTGCAGCTACTTGACAGAACACAGAAATTCCAGATTCCAAGTCTACGTGCAATGAACGTGTTACTTTCCAACACCCACTTTGGATTTTACAGAATCCCAAAGATGGCCATTGTTAATATCGAAGATGACTTTGGTAGATGTGCTTCTTAATTGCAGTATTACTCATTTCTTATTTTCAAATCTTTTAATTTGTCATCTAATCAGCACAGTGATCCATGGAATAATCCGTCTTTATTTTATTCCTATTTTAGGTGGCTAGGCTTATTATTATTCATAACACAAGCCCAATGCTTTGATTATTAAGTGGTGTCATTTGTATCCTAATGACTTTGTGCCTTACATGTCATTCGAAAGGAAATTGAATATTATGAAACATTAAATGAGACCCTCTTTACCCAAGTGTGAAGGAACTGACTATTCAGTTAGAAGGTGACTAGAAGATATTCTAGAGTTGTATGATCTGGTGTGGCTGCTGCATCCTTGGAAACTTTGGAATATAGTACCAAAGACCTCAGCCAATGTTCCCAGCATCTTGCCCACATTTACTTTTGCTCCTTGTCCCCATGCCCACTAACCCCTATTCAGTCTCTCCTTTCACATTCTTCTCCCTGTGCTTGAAATGGTCCTCTCTCCCTTCTTGTCTTAGGTACATCCTGTGCATCCTTTAAATCTCAGCTAAATTATCACTTCTCTAGAGAAGCCCTCTCTAATCTTCCCAACCAGATCAAATCCCCTATCCACATTCTCATGACACCATTGTAGAGTTACCAAGGACAATCTTACATTTATTTGAGTCATTCTTTGGTTGACTAAGGCTGTGTCTCCTGTAAGATCATAAACTTCATGAGGGGAGGGGATCTTGTAAGTGTTTACTCACCATCATTTTACCAAGCTTCCAGAAACCCCACTTCTTCTAGTGACATTGCAGACAGAAATAAGAATGATCATAGCTACTGCTCCTCTGCAAACATGGTCTGAGCCAATTATATTCTCATGCTTGCATGCCATCTTGAATGCCAATGGACTTTGCTGATGCATGAACCAATGGTACAGGATCAACTCTGATAGGTCAGGATCCATGTGAGGACAAAATAAACAAATCAGGAACACATTTTTTAAATTGTGAAATTCTTATTATGATGATTAGCCTATTTAATAAATAAAACTGGGATTCCCTTAGGATAGAGAAAGCATATCTGTTTCACCCATTACTCTATAAACAGCTCCTGGGATAGGGCTTTGGCACCTTTGGGTGACTGACTGACTGACTGACTGAATAAGGGAATGGATAGAATAGCAATTATCACTTAACATATAAAAAAGTTGAGGAACAAAGTTATGATGTGACTTGATGGAGTGACATTACTGAGTCAAAGCAGAGCCTAGCACAAAGTGATGCTCCCACTGCCTCCTGCACCATCCACTTAGGACGGTATTAAGATGGCTTCCACAGGACAGGAAGTGTCAGAAAAGGCTCAGATGGCCTCTGTACTCAGGATTTTGGCCTCTTAAGGTATTCGAATGACGTGGCTCAAATTCCTTCCCACTGTCTAGATGAGAAACCAGCTCCAGTGGAGATGGCCTGAGTATGCCCAGAATCCCTAGTTCTGGAAAATCCAGCTACTAAGACCAGATCTAGCCAGCCATGCAGCTGGCTGTGGAATCTCAGAATGGGTGTGGGGAACCACACCCTGATTCTGAGCAGACTCCACTAGGCCACCCAGGCAGCACTCAGCAGGCCACCAAGGGTGCCAGGGACTCTGGGATACAGGATAGACAGGACAGAAACCTCTAGGTTTCTCATCTGTGAAACTGTAATGCCAATACTCACCTCAAAGGCTTGGTGTACAGATAAAATGAAGCAACATCTGTAAAATGCCTCATACTGTGCCGAATAAAGAATTGATCAAAAAATGGTAGTTTTTTCTTTCTAAGTTATCATCAAAAGGACTCTTTCACCTCTCCAAGAGCGGCTATGATGCTGTAAACTCAAGCAGCACGACTGGGAGTCAGACTTCTCTTGGAAAAACTCCCAACTCTCTCTCCATCCCCCACATAGGGACTTCAAGGACTCAGTGCATTTCAGAAAGAAATGTCTAAAAGAATAGGCAGATTATAGCCAGCCCTGCAAGGGGCTTTTTTTTTTCTTTTTCTAGGATCACAATAAGCATTACCTGGCAAGAAAACAGCCTTTTCTGCTTCCCTGGGCTCTGTCTTATTGGAGAAGCAGCCTAAAAATTGTTCCTAATCTCTAAGAAGTTTCCAGGTGTTTAATGACTTGCCAGGGTAATAAACCACTGAATTCTGGGAAATCATTATGTGAGATGTTACCTACCACTTTCCTCTGACTTTGAGAATCAAACCAAGCAATATGGTCTGGGCAGAATCAGGAAAAGCATCAGTTTTGAAATCTGACAAACCTGAATTTGAACCACAATTCTAATGCTGATATAGAATCTTAGGACAAATTGCTTATCCCTTTGGCACTGAGGTACTTATCTACAAAATGGGTATGATATATAACTTGTAAGGTAAGAATTATGTATGCAAGATAAGGATGTATTAGTTATCGATTGCTGCATAACAAATTACCCCTCCCCAACATTTATTAGCTTAAAACAACATTTTCAATCTCACAGTTTCTGTGTGTGAGGAATCTGGGCATGGCTTAGCTGGGTCCTTTGGCTCAGGATCTCTCCAAAGCTGTCAGCCAGGGTTCTGGTCTCATTTCAAGGCTGAATTGGGGAAGGACCTGCTTCTAAGCTCTCTCATTGGCTGTTGGCCTTACCATGTGGGCCTATGGAGATAGGGCAGCTCACAACAGGGCAGCTTGTGTCATCAGCGCAAGAAGGCAAAAAGAGTCAGAGAAAGAGAGAGACTGCAAGACAGAAGTCACAGTCTTTTATAACCTAATCTTGGACGTGGCATCCCATCACTTTTGCTGTATTCTACTCGTTAGAAGCTAGTCATTAAGTCTAGCCCACATTCACATGGGTGTGAGTGTCAGGAAGTGACCATTAGAAGCTGTCTGCCACAATATTCAAAGATTCTCAGTAAATGGCTGCTGCTATTATGACCAACTATGAGAGTACTTTGCAAAGCAATGTTCACCACAAAGGAGTTGTATGCATGCATATAAGCATAACCAATGGACACAGAAACCACGGGCTTGAGGGCATGTAATACCTTAATCAGTAAAGAAAAAAAAAGAAAGTTAGCAAACATATGACACTATCAGTCTATTATAGATGCTGATTCTATCCAAAGACTATATTTAGAGATGCACTTAATTTATATTGAATACAGATTTGATTACTTGTTACCAAATGACAATGTTTGGACACGAGAGTTAAAAGGCACACATTTCCCTTACATCATGTTTTAGCATATACCTGGTTATTTTCAGATGTCCATGTTTTTATGGGGATGCAAATAAAAATATGCATCTTGATTTTCTCATTTAGCAATATTATAAAGGCATTTTATCCTGCTGTACATTCTTTGTAATTAGCACTTTAACACCTACGTAACATTTCCATTCAGTAGAAAAATGTAAGAATCATGGTTTACTTAACCATTCCCTTTATCTGTGACACATAAGTTGCTTTAATGTTTTCCCATTAAAACAATGCTGTGATTGAGTGTCTTGTGTGTGGTAAGTTTCTTCCCCCACAACTTGAATTATGTCTTTAGGATAAAATCCCAGGGAAAGCAATTAGAATGCACACATTTTAATGGCTCTGTCAAGTTTTTACCCAAATGAGAAAATGGCTTTGGTTTTTATATAAGCAAACACTGTTCCATCAGCCCCAGATTGAGTTCCTCAAAGGCAGACACCCTCACTTAGTTTTTAATTTTTTTTAAAACATGGCCTCTTGCCTCTAAGCAACATTTAATGAATATTGTGGGCTAAATGAATGAACAAAAATATTTAAAAATTTGAGACTTTAGGAAAAATATTTAGGCTAAATCTATTGAAACTTTTTTTTTTAATCAGGAGATGTTGAATTTCCATTTAGAAATCACGAAGAGATGTGAAGGACATACCCATGCCAAGCACTGGGCTCTCTTTTGCCCTTTTCTTATCTCGTTTAATACTCAGAGCACCCCCTACAGTTCATTTTCCACACAGCAACGTAATAAAATGCCAAAAGCATAAATCAGAGTGTCAAACCCTGCTTTTATAAAGGATCCCAGGAAACATCTGTTGGCCCCCATCATTTGGGGGGGGGGGAATCCAACACAGAAGGTCTTCTTTTCTGAGGAGAATACTAGTTCCCTGGAAATATCTACTTACTTGGACATAAAATGTTCACCCTGTACTAGGAATCATGGGAATTTTTTTAAAAACGTAGTTCAGCCCAGGGAATGAGTCATTTAACCAAACTGTAAGCAGAGTAATAAAACATTTAGGTAAGAAGGTCACAAATGACCCTCAAAAATAATTTTATTGGTCAAAATTTATTCCAGCTAAAGTGCCCTGACACTCTGCAGCACATAACTCTTGGAACTCCACAGTAAACTCTCCACCCCTTCACACACAGCCCTTTTTTAAAAAAGAAATTTTAATTTACTTATTTTAGGGACAATCATCCTCATATTTTAGACCCAGGAGACCAAGTTGCTTGTACAGATCAGAGTGCGTGACACAACCAGAATTTATTTGCACCCAACATCCAAACCCATCTCAGGTTTCGCCACTAAACTTGAGCCACAGCGCCCCCTGGTGGAAATGTGGTGGCTTGGCTTTTCCAGTTCCTCTGCCCTAGGGAGACATGGCACCTAACCTGTGTTTCCGTTTTTTCTTCCTCTCAGGTGAAGGAGGCCATGCAGCGGATCCATGACCGAGGGAACATTGGCAAGTTAATTCTGGATGTAGAGAAGACCCCGACTCCACTGGTGAGTCAAAAGCAGAGGGATCCGTTCAGTTCAACACGAGAGGTCTGATCAGGTGCAGGCACAGATGGGGCAGGGGGAAATATACCAGGTCCTGGGCTGGCGAAGGTGACCAGCGATAATCAAAGGATGGCGCAAATAAGGGATGCCACAAACTGAGATAAATGCTGAGAAGGAACGGAAAAGTCTTCAGTGAGAGCATTCCAAGAGCAATCTGAGGGCAGTCAGGAAGGGATAGAAACAATGACCTGTGTCTATGACAAATGCCAACTATTGGCTGTCACGTACAGGAGGAATTCCTGGCAAAAAAAATCTAATAAATTCACATGCACATACTTGACAGATTGATGCCAACTGCCTCTGAGATGGCTTCTGATGATTGCATTGTTTTTGTTTTCTCTGATCAAGATAAAACCCTTATACCCAGGGATCTCACCAGGAATGAAGCATGTCACTCACATCCCATAGGCTCTTGCAATGGCCACTTGAGGTGGGGGGAGGGGCTAGGTACTAGTGTGGCAGTCAACACGGCAGCTTTCACCAGACGGCATGATTCAAAGTTCAGCTCTGAGCTCCTGTGTGTGACCTGGGCAATTACTTTGCCACAATTACTTGCTGCAATTTACAGTCCCCGTCTGTAAATTGGAAATTGATAAATTCTCAGTTAGAATGATATGCTAAAACATTGTCTCACACACACACTAAATTCTAGGAAAGGTCTGACAAAGAAAATACTTAGGAAGGGTTTTTGTTTTCTCACATGTTTAATCTTGGAGCTGCTTCAGTCATTTATGAAAGAGCAAGACCTAACATGTCTTGCACACTTTAGTGTAAGGCATGTATTTTTTAAAAGTGTTTACTGGGCTTTCATAACCATAATGTAGTTTAGGTATGATGGCCATTTTTCTCAATGAAGGACTGTTAAATGAGAGGGCATTTTACAATGTCTAAGTCGCTGATAACAATATGAATATAGTTCCAGGTCTGTGCCAACAAGTGTTTTAAGCAGATGAGGGACCAGGGTAAGGAGAAGATGGCTGGTATCTGGTCTTCTGTGCACCTGTGCTGTGTTCTTTAAACATGTGACCAAGTCTGTTCCAGCCCCATCAGTATAAGGCAGACAGGTAGAGGCATCCTGGTCTGCTTGGTGCTTTCTAGTCAAATCACTGGCACTGGCTTCCCACCCGTCTCCTTACCCATGAGGTCCTGCTGGGCTCTAGGGCTGGCGGGAAGGCCTGTTTGATGCCAAAGGTGTGTGTGTGGTGGGGGAAGGGGCTCTTATCAGAGCAGAGTCTGAAAGGCAGACCTTTTAATGTGAGAACTGAAAACCTGCCTTGGCTCATATATCATTGCCCTTGTCCCTGAATCTCAGGAGGACTTTTACCCTGGGACTTAAGGAAACAGAGATGATGGAGAATGGGCCAACTCAGACCTGTATTTGGAGTATCTCTAGGGTGGCTGGAGGCTACAGCCCATCTGGATGGAAGAGTAGGCTCAAAGGAATCATCTCCCAAATTCCAAAGACATGCACTCAAATCCTTAGCTCAGAGACTGCTTCTTGGGGTGCCCAACATAAGGCAGCTAATACCACACTGCCTTCCTGGGGAAGCAAGCAGTGCAGGGTTTCCTAGCTCTTGGCCCTGAAAGAAGTCCTTCCAAGTGGCTTCATCAGATGCTCAGAAAAGGTGGGGGTTAGGTTGCAGAGCCCTCTCACAAGTCTACTGTTGAATTACAGATGGCCAATGATAGCACGGAGACCAGCGAGGCTGGAGAAGAGGAGGAGGACCATGAGGGGGACAGCGAGAACAAGGAGCGGATGCCCTTTATCCAGTAACCCAGGACCTGGACAGAAGAACGAAGGATGGTTTGAAAGAAGAGGAGCCACTGAAGAAAGCTCTTCTGTGCCCCAGTGAACAAATGCTGTAGTCCAGTGCGTGTTGTGTTTGTCTGCAGTCAGCTGAGCTAAAAAGCTTTGATCACTGTTGTTTTTTGAAATTAAGTGCCAACCCCATTCCATGCAGTGTTATGTCCCTTCCCCTCTGTGTATTACACTCTCCTATCTCCTGTTTCAAAACCATCCATCTTTGACTCCTTCTCGATGGTTCTAGAACAGTCTGATTAACACAAGCCCACAGGCCCCATGCCTAGGAGACTAGACATGGGCAAAGACAAGTTTGGATTGAAAGGTGTCATCACAGAGCACTATCCAGATCCTAGAATTCTTCAGGCCAATAACACTTTTCACTGCCAACCACCCATGCCTCTGATGAGAGCACTTGCCGATTTGGCTGGCAGAATGAGAATAGGCCAGATGATTTCATGAGCCCATAGATTTATGATCTCTTCGAATAGTACTTTCCCTCTCCCCCAACTTCCTTCAACTGCTTTATGGTCAGAAGGTTGAACTGCTGTCCTCCCGCCCTCTGATGCTCAATCCCTTCACTGGTTCTTATCCATAAACACAGGGAAACAGATGTGAAGTTTTCAGGATAAAAGATGGGTCAACAGCATGTGTTTGAAGACCAGCCACAGAGATTTCTTTCTGAGACCACATCTCATGAGCAAAATCCTCTCCTCTCTACACCACATACTGTATTTTAGTTTTAAGAAAACTCACCACATGTGAGTCTATTTCGGAAATCATTACTGAGAATCACCTGTGTTTGCACACTTGCTTTTGGTATTACCAATTTTGCTACATTCATTTCCTAGAAGTGAACAGCCACGTTTACCGTGGATCCCCCAAGGAAGACCTCCGTGGTAGACCATATTTGGGGAAAAAAAATCAATGAGCATCCTTTTACTTGCCAAAGCATGTTCCAACATGTAACAAATTCTAGTGGTATAAGAATTCAGTATCAGATGCCAAATATGTGGTTCCTCTCCTCTGAAATATAAAATTATGCTGCAGATTCTTTGCAGGGACCCTGCATTGAGCAAACTGGGGACCAAACTCTTTGATTACACACCTTTGTTCAATTTTCCAGCTCCTACTTCTAAGAAACCCTGCCCTTGGCCCCACCCGACTTGGCATGGCTGAGGTGAACAGTTCCCCTGCAGGAAGAGAAAGAGGCTCAATGTCTCCACAAGGGGGCTCCGCATTCCCTCCTCCCAAAAGGGTGACTCCATTCCTCCTAAACCAAACTGGGAACACAAGAAGCCCACAGGGTTAGCACCCAGCTCACTTTACATTCTGGAAGATATTGGGGGGCGGGGGGGTCCACATTGCCCGATCTCTCCACCAACGAGCCCTAAGGGTAGACCAACTCTTCCTCAACGTGATGAAAAATGCATTTCAGCAATTACCTATTTTCATTTTCAGTCCTTTTGTAACAAATATTTATCTGAGGGGAGAGTCTCTCGTTGTGAATGTCCATGTGAAATATGAAGAAAGGGTGCTGCCATCTCATGTGAAGAGATGAGAGTATCTCAAAGAGGACACAACATCCTCTTCTCCCTGTACCCCAGGACTCCCCAGCATCCCAGTTCTGTGCCATTTAGAGAGATGATGTTGAGATGTTATCCCAACACCTTTGCCAAATGCTGCATTTTTGGTCATTCTTCCTCCCACAACCAAGTTGACAATGGGGTCTTAAGAAGACCATTTCTTCCATTTTGTCCAGCTACCCAAGTGACATTCTGGTGAGCTGGACAGAAATGGCATTTTCTAGGGCTGGGGGAGCAAAGAGCCACTGGCCGTATGAGGGCTCTCCTCGGCCAGGTGAGTGGGACCCCACATTCTTGTTACATCCAGAGGAGAAGCCAAAAAAGTAATTCCTCCCCAAATCTATTTTCTCAACTAGCAAGATTAATAGAATAATCACAAAAAATGCCAGTTGGTTAAAAAAAAACAACCCTTCTGTCTCCTCAGAATACAGAATGAGAAACCTAGAGTTTGACCAATATGATCAATTAAGTGCCACGAAAAACAGGAAAACAAGAGAATCAAAACGATCTGTGTATTGCACTCTCATCCCAAGCACCTTCTTTCCCCTCATGTGATGGTTTTCTGAAGGAGGTTTAAGAAGGTAACAGTTTGCCTTAAAGGAACTGTGAAGGCTTCTCTGTAATCTAAGCATGATTGGAGAGAATTGCAACATTGTCTAATGTATTTGTGGCTTTAGAGCTTTTGTTATATTGTGCCTACAAAGCAAATTATGTTTACACAAAAATATAAATAAAGTATTCAGCATAGCATAACCCTGCCTGGCATCAGTTGCTCCACACCAATAGTTGTTGGAAAACCACATACTGAAATATAAGGAACAGGTGGCTAAAAGAGGATGAGGAACTAGAGACAACATAGAAAATGTAGGGTAGAGATGAGACAAGCCTTTAAAAAGACATTCAAGTTTCCTCAAGTGAGAAAATAAAACAACTAAATAAAAGAACTACTAAAGACTTCATATAATAACTAGAGGCTCAGTGCACGAAATTCATGCACTCGACAGGGGGAGGAGGGGGTCCCTCAGCCCGGCTTGCGCCCTCTCGCAATCCAGAAACCCTTGGGGGATGTCCGACTGATGGCGGGGAGTGGGCCTAAGTCAGCAGTCAGACATCCTTAGTGCTGCTGTAGAGGTGGGAGAGGCTCCCACCACCACCGCTGCACTCACCAGTCGTGAGCCTGGCTTCTGGCTGAACGGCACTTCCCCTGTGGGAGAGCACTGACCACCAGGACTCCCCAGCATCCCAGTTGATGTTGAGATGATGTTGAGATGATGTTGAGATGTTATCCCAACACCTTTGCATTGAGCATCTGCCCCCTGATGGTCAGTGTGCGTCATAGCGACCTGTCATTCCACTGTTCGGTCTCTTTGCATATTAGCCTTTTATTATATAGGATTATTATATAGGATAATGATAATTAGAATGGCATTTATAAGGCACCTACTATATGCTGTTAAAAGAGCTATATATAGCCCAGCTGTCGTGGCTCAGTGGTTAAGAATCAACCTATAAACCAGGAGGTCACGGTTCGATTCCTGGTCAGGGCACATGCCCAGGTTGTGGGCTCCATCCCCAGTGGGAGGCGTGCAGGAGGCAGCCGATCAATGATTTTCTCCCATCCTTATGTTTCTCTCTCTCTCTTTCTCCCTTTCCCTTCCTCTCTGAAATCAATAAAAATATTTGGTGAGGGAGGGGAGAGTTTATATACATATGCATTAACTTGCTTATCTTCCCCATAGCCCTAAGAAGTAGGCTTTATCATTATGCCCATTTTATAGGTGATAAGCCTGAAGCATAAGAGAGGTTTTGTCCTTGCCTAAGATCAGACAGCAAGTAAGTTTTGGAGCCAGGATTTTTTTTAACCACGCTAGAATCCATGCTGTTAACTGCCCTACCATGCTCTCTTGTCTTAAATAAGGCTAAAATGTGATGCCTTTCAAATTACCACCGTTTGGTCACTAGAAATACTTCAGGGATTCTGTTTCCTCTGATTTCAAGGATATATCTGTCAATTCGTTTTGCTTTGTAGCAAATAATATGCCTATCAAGAAGCACTTTTCCCCTGCCCCTTCCTCCAAGTGTTTGAGTGAAGTGCTGATTTTGAAACTCACACATCTCCACCATTTTTACTTTCTTGATCTAATATCCTCAAGGCCACCAACGAGATACACAGAAGTAAATCTCCAAAGGCTAAGACTTCACAAAAGAGGAATTTGTGATTAGGGAGGCTTTACCTTGTTTACCATATTTCTCAGCAGGAAGGCAAAAGAAAATAGAGCTAGTCCCATGTCAACGAAATGCTACATGTATCGAGCTCAGTTTACAAAGCAGAAAAGTTAGTTGTATTGTCAGTGAAATGCTTACAAAGTCCCTGCACACAGGATTTTCTCTGACATTCTCACTTAATGCTCATGTGCTCCATGTAAATCTCATGGCCTCACATTAAACACAGGCCAGCAGCAAACACTGGAGCCTAAACTAAAGCCCACATATTCACTTATAACCTGAGAACAGGGAAGAGGTCCAGCAGTTGGAAATAAATTCTTTTCAGCAGTGTGGATCAGGTTATGGTAGTAATGGAGGTAAACTTTTCAAAAGCCGTTTAGGGCATGGCAAAACATTTGTGCAATAGTAAAGAGGTGAGAACTTTTGAAGGGCATATTGGAAGAATGGAGAGTAGAAGTAGAAAAGTGTAGCCGAAATACACGTGTGCGGGGTTTAAGAGGAGGAGACAGGCATGATGGGAAGTGAGTCCCAGGTTTGGAGATCTTTGAATGTCAACCTGATAATCTTGGGTTGGATGGAAAGGAAGAAGGATGTCCAATGGTGTGATGGGAAGCTCGGGGTGTGGAGGCAATTACTAGGAGTAAATGCAGGTTTTCATGGAAAGAAGGATATTAGTAAAGGGGCCTACAGGTGGTCTGGAGTTAGATATCAAGCAAGGAAATTTAATTTTAAAAATACTTTATATAGCCTAATATATACAGAATGTTATTATTTCAACATAGAGGTTACTAATGAGATATTTTATATTCTATTTTTCATACTAAGACTTCCAAATCTGACGTGCACTTTACACTCACAGCACATCTCAATTTGAACTGGACACTTCAAATGCTCAGTAGCACTGTGACTAGTGGCTTCCGTTCTGCACAAATAGACTAGAAGAAAGGCTGAAACAGACACCAAGATGTGCAACACTGACTCCAGCGAGGCAATGCTAAAGGGCAGAGGGGAGCCCAAAGTAGAAAGGGGTCAATTCCATGATGGAAGGGAATGGTGAAGACAGCGTACATGCAAGAGAGTGATACCTGAATAAAGTATTTTAAGATGAGTGGGTGCTGTTCAAGAGAATAATGTACTTAAAGCACACAGCATTATGCCTCGTACGTGGTAACCACCGATAAACATTAGTTCCCTTTCCCTACCCCCCATTTGTCAGTGACGAAAGAATGAGATGATTGACAAATACTCAGTAGCTTTCCTCCTTTTTATAACAATGGAGAAAAGATAGATCACTGTATTTCGCATCTAGATTTGCTTGTGGGAGGAAAAATAAATTGTTAAAAACTGAATGTCCACCCACCCAATTCATATGTTAAAATCTTAACACCCACCATGTGATGGTATTAGGAGGTGGATATTAGGAGGTAATCAGGATAAGATGAGGCCCTGAGGGTAGAGCCCTCCTGAGTGGGATTAATGCCCCTGTAAGAGTCATGAGAGAGTTTGCTTCCTGTCTTTCTCCCAGTGTGAGGACACAGTGAGAGGTAGGCCCAGCAGAAGGCAGGCCCTTATGAGAATTTGACCATGCTGGCACTCTGGTCTTGGGCTTCTAGCCCCTAGAGTCGACTATAAGAAATAAATTTCTGTTGTTGGTAAGCCACTGAGTTGATGATACTTTGTTAGAGCAGCCTGGACTGTCTGAGGCATAAGTGTTTTTGCATTCTCTGCCGTTAGCAGAATTAGCAGCGCTCCAATTAGCAGCCAAGCAAAGATGCTGGGAAATATGCCCCATGAGTTATTCAGATTGGCACCCAAACACCCAAACAAAGGAGTGACTCAGACAGGAGCAACTGGAACCTCAACATCACACAGGCATATGCACTCACACATGTGCAGTGCATCAGCCTTGGAATCTTGCAAATCAGGGATCAAATTTGGGCAAATTGCTTGGCATTTGAGTTTTCCTTTACTAAAATGGGGATGATCATACTGTTATTTCCTAGAATTGTTATGGAGATCAAATGTAACAGTGTATATGTAACCGGATCGAAACCATGACCCACAATTTCCAGGCTGGAAGCCAGACGGTGAATGCTTTCAAAACAAATTTTTTTCATTCATTCAACAAACAGTGATCCAATATCTAGCATGTTTCCTACACAGTGTTGTTAGTGTCTTAGCAGGAAAAATAAGAAATACATAGCCTCTGCCATCTAGGATCTTATAGTTTAATGTTGTGATAACAATAAGTTTTATCTCCTGTGCAAATGGCAATCTATTTGTAGAGCCTGCTTGGAATTGAGAGCTTACTTGGGTGAAATGTAGAGTGGCATAATTGATGAAAACTATGAGCAGGTCAGAGGAGTTGTCTGGGAGAAGTATCTATATTTAAGCACACCAGTGGGGAAGTACAAGGTAGGTCAATGGAATGGTCCATTTAGCTATTGCATGTATCAAGGGAAGAAACAAAATTTAGGAAGACTGGCATCCAAAAATGTCCCTTCAAGGCTTCTGGATTTTGTACTGAGAGCAAAGGGATTAATTAAGGGACTATTGAAGAATGACCATGAGAAGTTTTCCCAAAATGAACTTCACCATTTTACTTGGTCCATTTTGGGCAGATGGAACATATAGATGGACCATATTGGAATAATAGTTTTGGGGCTAGTCCCCCAAGGTCCAACCTTAGTCTATTTGGTCATGAGGTAAGGTGACCACTACATTGGCATGAGCAGGAGGAAAGGCTCGCCTCTCCCTTTCAGGAATGGGAAACCAAGAGGGGTTAGTGTGGCAGGCTTTTCTGAGGAGCTGGGAAGCTTGTCCATGGAGGCCCCCAGAAAATAAATCACCATCTATCAGAGCTGGGAGTCAAACCTGACAGTGTTACCACACCAGGCCTCACTGCCTGATGTGCCTAGAAGTCAATACTATGGCACCAGCTTTTGGTGAGGGTATGTGTAACATTTCTGGCAAACGGAAAATCTTCAGTAAATGTTAGTGAACCAAAACAATATCTTGAAAATTAGACATCAGACCCACTTACAGTTAAGGACACTGAATTTCAGAGAAGTTAGGTGGCCTGCCCGTGTTTACCCAGCTAGAAAGTAGAGGAATCCTGCCTAGAACCCAGGACTGCCCAATGCAGAAAGGTTTTTTTCCAGCAGCTGGGAAAGATGGGGGTTCCTGCTTCCAAATTAACATCCTCCTGGCAAGGTGGTCACTCCCACTACCTTCCCACACTTCCTACCTCCTCCTCCCCCACCCACAGAGAAAAAAGAACTTCCTCTCCACCAGCTCTGGTATAAATCAAGGTGCTCTCAGGAAGACTCTAATTAGCCCAGCTTAGGTCACATGTCCATCTTAAATCAAACACTGAAGCAGAAAAATGGCTATTCTGATTGGGTAGCCTGAGTCATGTGACCACCTCTGCACCTGGTCATGGTAGGAGCTAGCTCCCTGATTGACAACCCTAGAGAACCACATCAAGTGACAGAGGGATAGATCCCCAAATGAGGGGATATTGGACA